ATATCCTTGCCTGGAGTTTTAAGCTGCCAAATCTTCAAATGGAGTGGCTTCTACTTTTAATTAGTTCTTGGCTCACATGCTAATTTCTCTGACTTCCCAATATGAGCGCTACTCTGCAGGTCCGCACCCTGACCTGCCCAGGAACTCTATAATACTACCGTGTTTTGTCTTCCTTGAAGCACTTACCACTATATGAAATGATCTTGTTTATTTTATTTTTAAATTTTTTATTTTGAAGTAACTTCAGACCTACAGAAAAGTTGCAAGAATATACAAAGATTTTTCATATACATTTCACCCACATCCCGCAGATGTTAACATTTTACCATATTTGTTTTGTGTTATCATTCTAGGACTCTCTCTGTATATATACATAATATTTTTTTCCTGAAATATTTGAGACTAAGTTGTAGCTATGATAATCTCTTTACCTGTGTCAACGTAAGAAATACTCAATCTTACAGAGAATTTTTTGAGTTTATTTGAGCCAAACTGACAACAATTGCCAGGAAGCACAATCTCAATGGATTGAGAAAATGCTCCAGAAAAAGGCAGTTTTGCACCTTATTTTATGCATTACCATCAAAAGAAGAGGCATAAGTGGGTTACATGAAATCCATTGGTGATAGGTTAGGGAGGTGGGAGAAAGCAAAGCAGCGGGGTCAGGACCTCAGGGATTGGATAAAAACTAGATGATAGATACTTTTACGCAGGTGGGTACAGGATAGTTAAGTCAACAATTAATGCCGTAACAATAACTGTGAGTGGATTTGTAGGCTCTCTCCGGTGCTGTGCCTGTGCTTTGAGGGGTCCAGAAAAAGGAAATTTGACATTGCAAAGGTATATTATCATAGATGCAAAAAGATAATAGACAGGCAAAAAGATAATAGACTTATATCAGGGAAGATTCCAGCCTAGGACATGACTGCCTGCACCTGCCATGAGCTGCTTTTTGGAGCGTTTTTTTTTTAACTTCAGACCAACCGATGTAGTTACCTTAGGTCTCCGAGTTTGCAAGGCCATCATGCAGGCTCCCCTGAGCTTGTCAGGTTTGGTAAGTGGCTCCTTTGTGTCCACAGCTGTAAATACTTTAATGAGTGTTTCCTAAAAGTAAGGACATTCTCTTACATAATCAGCAAAATCAAGAAATTATTTGTCTAAAAACTTTATTCCAATTCTCATTATTATACTAATAATCTTCTTGATAACAAATTTTAAAATTGTTTTTCTGGTCCACGATTTATTCCAGAATTATATGTTGCATCTAGTTGTCATGTCTGTCTACGTATTTTGGTGTTCAGATTTTCTCAGTTTGGGCCAGTAGGAACCCCTTCAATTCAGTGACCTTTGGATGTGACTTTTGTAAAATTTTGTTTATTTATTTTTTAGAGTTGGGGGGAGGTGGAGAGAGAGAGAGAAACATCAAACGATTGCCTTTCATACATGCCCCAACCGGGTGCTGAAACCACAGCCCGGGCATGCGCCCTGACTGGGAGCCAGACTGATGACCTTTCATTTTGTGGGACAGAGCCCAGTCAACTGAGCCATGCCAGTCAGGGTGTGACTTTATCATTTTTTAAAAGAATTTATTCATGTTTTCACACAACTAGATATTCCAGGCTGATCTTGTATTATATTATCTTAGCTCCAGCCTTGGAAGTCGCTATTTCTCCAAGGAGAAATTTCTTTTTGTCAAAGATCAGTATTTAGAAACCAAGGCCTGGGCACTAAACATGGTTTTTGCTTTTGAGATGTCATTGTTTGTAGGCCCTCTTAATAAACAGAGCTACAAGTATACACATGCCACATTATGTCCATTTCATAGCTTGTGTGTGTGTGTGTGTGTGTGTGTGTGTGTAACTGAGTTCATACTCATACCTCCTATTGCAGTTCAGTACTATGGACATAGTTCATTCTAGCCTTCCTCATTTTCATATTTGTAACTCCTTTCCCCAATGATAAGAAATCTGATTCCCATTATCCACAGTTATATTTACTTACTTACTCAGTCCTAGAAAACACAGGAAGTAATTTTTGAATTGCTAATTCATGTCACTGCATAAAACAAAAACAAAAACCTGATGCAAATGGGGTTTTCTCCATGGTCATGTTTTAATTGATTATTGATTATTGTTTGTATGTATGAAAGCTAATGAATTCTGCACGCTAATTCTATACCCTGCTACCTTACTAAATTATTTTATTGTTTGAGCTTGTTTTGTCATTTCATCTCATTGATCCTCTAAGATTTTCCATGTATACTAACATAGTGTACATATGTCAATAGAGGTTATTTTATATTTCCAATTCTTAAGCCTCTGTCTACTTGTCAAATGATATTAGTACCAGTGCAATGTTAACCAGTAGTGGAGCTGATGGGCTTACCGTGTTTCTGATCCTACTGGAAGCGCCTCTAGTATTTTCTAGTGTCAAGTGAAATGCTGGCTTTAACACTAAAATGCATGTATATATTTTATCATGTTATGAGAGTATCCTTCATTTTGACTTTCTTCAATGCCTTTACCAAGAATGAATGTTGAATTTTGTTAATGGCATTTTTAATACCTGTATATCTATTGATGTTGTTGTTTCTATTAATGAATTTTCTAATGCTGAACCACTGTTGCTTCCCTGGAATGAATCCCATTTAACTATGGTGTATTTTCCTAATGTGGTGTTTGAATTTTGTTCTCTATTATTTACAGTTTACATAACATTCATTTGTGATATTTGTCTGTAATTTTCTTCTTTAGGGGAGACTGTATTTATAAGATTTAGATATCAAGGTTATATGTACTTGGTTCATAAAATAATTTGGAAGGTTTTCTGTGCTCTGCAATAACATATGTCAGATGGGTGTTATCTGGTCTTTAAAGGTTTACTAGAACTCCCCGAAACCATCCGGGCCTGCCTTAATCATCTCTGCAGATACTAGTCTTTTTAAGCCTTTCATCTAGGTTTTCACATAGTCAATGGGAACTCTTAGAATTTTTTATTTTATATATGTGTTATTGCTTATGTAAAGTTAAGCAGTGTATGTTTATCGTGTTATTTTTTAAATTATATTTTGTTTATTAATCAGTGTCACTGTTTTTCTGTCCTCTACCATAGGAATTCCTATTTTTATCTTTATTATCCTTGCTTTGTGCTTTGTTTTGATTTACTTTTTTATTCTTTATTTTAGCATTTTTTTAAAAATCCTCACCTGAAAACATGCTTATTGATTTTTAAAGAGAGAGAAAGGGAGGGAAAGAAACATCGATGTGGGAGAGAAATATCAATCCGTTGCCTCTCGCACGTACCTTCACTGTGGACCGAACCCACAACCCAGGCATGTGCCCTGACCAGGAATCAAAACTAGAAACTTTCAGTTTACAGGATGGCAGTCTAATCAACTGAGACACTCCTGCCAGAGCTCTTTTTCTAGCATTTTGAGAGGGCAATTAAATTCCTTTATTCTTTTACTTTTATTTATATGTGTTAAAGCTATAGACTTTCTTCTGCTCATTGCTTTACGTGTATCTCATAGATTCTCATATTTAGTGTTTTCATTATCATTGTCATTATTTGAAATTCTATAATTTTGATTTTATTTTTCTTCATGAAAGATTTTTAAAAGATGTTTTAATTTTTGGGTGGAAGGGCCTTTTATTTTTTGATTTAGTTGTTAATTTCTAGTTTTATTACATTGTGATCACAAGAAGTTGTTTGTATAACTTTCATGATTTAATATATGATCACTTTTTACGAATACTCTTTACTGATTTTGTCATTTTGGTCTTCCGTGTTTATGCTTCTCTTTTTTTGGTCCCACTTGATCTGTCCTGTACTTCAAATGGCACTTTAAAGTCTCTTATCGTTGTTTTTATCTGTCTTCTTACGTCTCCTGTAATGTCTACTTCATAAAGGTGGCTGCTCTGTTTTTTGGGACATAAACATAATTGGGATATTTTTATTCTGAGTTGCAGCTTTGAGCATTAAAAAATGCCTTCCTTTGCTGCTTTTTCTCCCAGTATGACAACCTCTTACTATTTTGAGCCCATCTCACCCTCTTGGCCTCCCTAAATGCACTTCCAGGTGGAAGGGTCTTTTTATTTTATGATTATCAGTTACCAGGCTCATTGCATTTTACACTCAGTATGTCTTACTGCCCCTTTTGGGGTACCTAGTGTATACTCAGTTTTGGTAAATGTTCCTGTGTGTTGCGTATGTTTAGTTGGATAGTGCTTTGTGAGCCAAACTGAAAATGCTGTTCTTTAATGTTTGTTGATAGGTTTTTTGTTTGGTCTCAACTTGTTGTCATTTTATGTAATAATTTCAGTGTGTTATATTAATTTGATTTTTTCTCTATATGATGTGTTCTTTGCTCTTGTATCTTCTGGTATTTAAGATGGCCCTAACTTTGTTATAGCAGCTACCTTTAAACTTACACCTTTTAAAAATGTTCCTAGTAACCTGTATTCATATTTAAACTTTAACTGTTTTGCTAGTTTTTAATGATATTCTTTGACCTTGAGCTATTACATACTCAATAATAATATGCTTATTCTGATTTTCTCTTTCCCTTTCCTCTTTTCATTTACATTATTTTTATCTTATCAGAATAAGTACATTTTTTTTTAACCATCACCCACCTTTATTTTTTGTCTTTGATAAACATTAAATCTAGTAAGTGGTCACCATCAGTCCTTTTTCAGAAGTTTCCACAGTAATCTGATGGTTGGATGAAGCTTATCCTCTAGTAGAAGGTTCCAGAAGAGTTCATGGGTATATATTTTCTTATATGTTTAGGTTTGTTTTTTTTTTTTAGTAGACTTGGCACTTGGATGACAGCTGGAACCTAAAGGCTCTGAAGTTCATAATTTTTTTAGTTGAGTTTCTTGAAAATGCCCCTCCATTATTACCATGGTTTTGGGTTTTTTCCTACTACAGTTTACATTTAATATTATATTATTTCGTTTTATTTTCATGTGTTCTGTATAGTGGTTCGACAATCAAATAAAAATATGGAACACTTCCCGAATTTACAAGTTATCCTTGCTCTGGAAGCCGTGCTCATTAATCTTCTCTGTATCCTTCTGGTTTTAGTACGTGTGCTGCCAAAGTGAGCACTATTACCTTGTTTTTATACTGCTTTTGAGAAGTCTGATTCCAGTCTAATTCTCTGGCCTTCAAAGTTTGGGGCACCTTCTGTTTGCATTCCTGGAGGATTTTTCCTTTAGTTTAAAAGTCTAAACGTTTTACTAGGAAATTTCTCGGATTTGATTGTTGAGGGTCAGTTTTCCCAGGTACATGGTTGGCCCCTTTAAATTGTAGATTCAGATCTTTCTTTGTTTCCAGGAAGTTTTCTTGTATAAAAGTTTTAAATATTAAACCTCTCCTATTTCTGTGTTTTTCTTCTTCAAGCCCTCCATTAATATGTAATGGTGTATTTCCTCTTCTTGTCTTCTGTTTCAACTACTTCCTCTCTATTTGCCATGTTTTATCCCACTTTAATTCCCTTTGATTTTTAAGTAATATTGAATAAAAAATAATTTTTGTTTAAATCTGTTTTTTCCTTGAGCATCTTACAATTCAGTTTTTATTTCTAATATGATTTTTGTCATTTTCTTCCATTACCATTATGGGTTTAATCAACTCTCCTATTTTTTAGTTTTTTGGCTCATTTCTGTAAGCATTTGAATACCTGACTCAAGCACTCAAGCTTTTTTTTTTTTTTTTGAATACTTGTTTGAGAATATTTAATTTAGAGTAGAGGATTCCCTTAGAGTTTTCTTGTGTTTCATACTTGGTTTGGGGGGCGTTTTTTATTTTCATCCACTGAAGTGTTCAGAGTATCATTTTCTGTTTTTATCTTATGACAGTTTATGAAAATTAAGACTGTGGGCACCTTTGTACTTAATGAGTAGGGTCGTAGTCTTGGGTGGTTTACAAATTCTTAATTCAAAAGCATCCTCTTTTGGGGAGACAGTGGAGGAGAGGTTGTGTGACCCTCAGTATTTTACTCTTCTTTTGTCTTGGAAGATTCTACCTTTCCCTGCAGTCCTTCTTTTTCCCTTTACCATACTATTCCAACAAGTTTTCCTTTCTCTTTTTCCTTTTTACCCTCTTCTCATAAGTATTGTTTTCCCAAGATTGCTCCTCATATACTGTTAAGACCCTTTCTTGTAGTCTGCCCTGTCTACCAAGACTTTTGTGTGTTTGCTTTTCTAGTATTTTGGCACTCTTAGTGGTCTCTCTTTCTTGGATTACTAGGGTTCAGTCTCAGGCCTTTCGTTTGCCTCCTCCCTCCCCTTGCATCGCCTCCACGCCCCTGCCTTGACCTCTGCAAAGGGTTAGAGTGTGAGCTTGAGAAATCTCTCTGCTGGAAATTGCTGCTTATATTTCCTGAAGGTAATTTGAACAGTATGTTCTCTTTCTTCTAGTTACATTGAAGTTGTCTAATTTGTGTGGTTTATTTGTTCTGTTACTGCTTTATGTAGTTTGGGAGGATTATCCCATTATCTTGGGTTCCCAAAAGTCTGTTCCGATAACCTCTTGATGCCAGTGCCCTCCTTCTAGGATGCATTGAAACAGAGGCCATCTTTCTTTATTTATTGCTATATTTTTCAATCCTAGTACATAGAAGACGCTCAGTAAATAATTATTGAATAAGTATTCTTTAAAATTTGTGTCTGCTACTTATTTTTCTGTTGAATTAATATTTGTTTTTATGATTTATATGTCCTAAACATTAATAATCTAACAGGGCAATAATATAACTTGTAAGAGTTTAAGATATGAATCAGATGTCAATAGAGACAATTCTTCTGTAGCTTTTATTTGGATTAAGTGATATAGGATTTAAAAGTATAGAAAATGAACCTGATCTGGTCTCATTGGTGGTGGTAATAATTGTTTAAATTTTTTAAAATCCCTCTAGTGTTGTAGGCCTGTATCTAGCAAATACAGAGCTTGACCTTTTGCCCACTAGGAGTAACTTTCAGCTATTGCCCTTTAAAGCACTTGAAAAGGAGTTAGCAAGTGCTGGCCCCCAGAGCTTTACCAGGGCTGAACCAGGCCTGTGGGTGTCCTATAACTTGCATACATATCAGTAAAGGAGAAGGGGAAAATAGGACAAAAATGAAAATAAACAGAAGAGTGAGTCGGGAGAGACAATGAAAGGCAATAAGGAGAGGACTGAAAAATATGGACAGAAGGTAGAAGACTGGGAAGTGCCACCCAGGGCCCCGATTGCCTCCTGTTGGCCCGCGTGCACTGGGTTGTCTATTCTTGCCCTAGGATCACATTCTCCGCCTCAAAATAGACCAGCACCGTCAGCATTGTATTGGATGCCTTTTGTTATTTGCCTAGTAAAATTCCTCCAATCAGAAAAATGGCTTTAGAGTAGGAGACTACCTCTGGAGAGAACAATGCAATTTTAATAGCTGAGAGAATCTGGTGTTTTGCTTGCTCCATTGAAAACATTTGGATGTTTCATTGATTGGCAAGGAGAACAAGAACGCCTTTCACTTTTAAGGAAGGCTTTAGAGGGCAAACTGGGCAGTGCCTGGTGAAGTGGGTGTTTCTAGTGAATGACATTTCGTCTATTTTTACAGTTGGAAACATTCAACTCTTAAGCTTATTGTTTCAGCAGGCAAGAGAGCATGCTGTGCGGTCATGAGTGGAATTTTTAGACTTGATCCCAGGATCTGTTTTCTCCCTCATAATTTAGAGCCTCCATGAACTTGGCTTCTGAATTTATAAATATTTTATTGGTTTCAGATTCTTCTGTCAATTTATTTATCTTCATCTTCTGGATTGTTCAAAGGAAAGAGATTAGAAACATACCTGATAAAAGATTAGGTTGGGATTCCTTAAATTCTTCATTTATAAGTACTATAGCTGCTTTATTCCTTTTCTATTTTTTCCCAGGCTCTTGTGACTCATCTGTGGCGTCCTTGCTTAAGCCTCGATCTTAATTATTTCTGTCAGCTTGTGAACATTTCTTTATGTTCAGAATCCTAAATCACTTGTTACTTTCTTATTATGTATTCAAGTCATTTCCCAGTTATTTTTCTCAAAAGTTTAACCCTTAAGGGTATTTTAAGACAAATGTTGGAAAAACATACCCATAATCCCAAAACCCTGAACTAGGCCCCGTTTCCTGTTTGCACATTGAGTCACAGTGTTGTCCTCGTGCACGCAGGTTTGCCCGGTTGCACGGTGCTGCTTCATGTGCTGCTCTTTTTATTTTCCAAGTTGTCTTTCAATAATTAAATTTTTTTCCCACTATCCTTTAGACTTAATAGAATCTTTTAGCAATTTATATTTAAATAATGTACTAACATTTGAAATATATTTTCCGAGGCTGGTTCATATTGTGTTACTAACAAAAATGTTTTCATTATCCCATAGGATTTGCATATGTGAATGTAAATTGTATCAGTCAACTTAATTCCTCTCAGATGTAAAAGTGAGCTTTCCAGAAAAGATATATGGCATAGTCCCCCCTTATCTGCGGGTTCGTGTGTGTGTGTGTGTGTGTGTGTGTGTGTGTGTGTGTGTGTGATTTCAGTTACTTGTGGACAATTGCAGTCTGAAAATATTCAATGGAAAATGCCAGAAATAAACAATTCCTAAATTTTCAATTGTATGCCATTCTGAGCATTGTGACAAAATCTTCAGCCATCCTCCTCTGTTCCACCCAAGACATAAATCATCTTTGTCCAGTGAATCCATGTTGTGTTAGGCTACCCACCCGTCGGTCATTTAGGAGCTGTCTTAGTTTCCAGATACTTTCAGAGAGAGAGGCCATGTTCACATAATTTTTATTATAGTATATTGTTAAAATTGTTCTATTTTATTATTGTTAATATTTTACTGTACCTAATTTGTAAATTAAATGTTATCATAGGTATATATGTATAGGAAAAATATCGTGTATATATAGGGCTTAGTACTATCTGCAGTTTTAGGCATCCACTTGGGGTCTTAGAACGTGTCCCCCTTTCAGATAAGGGGAAACCACTGTAACTTTCAATTCATTGCTTATCTGAGTAGTTTATTTAAAGTATAGTAGTTGGTTTTCTGCTCTTTTTCTCAATTTGATTTTTGACTGAAATTAAATCTATAGCTCGTTATGTTATTTTATAGAATTACTATATTTGTCATACTTAGAAACATTTTTAAAGTAATAAAAACTGCTTCGTATGCCAGAAGTTATTGTTAATTTTTAAAAAAATTTTTGTTTCCATGAACTTTTTTTAAAAAATGTTTTATTTATTTAATTTTAGAGAGAGGAGTAGGGAAGGAGAAAGAGGGAGAGAAACATCAAAGTGTGGTTGCCTCTCAAGTTCCCCCTACTGGCAACCAGGCCCGCAACCCTGGCATGTGCCCTGACTTGGAATCGAACTGGTGACCTTTTGGTTCGCAAGCCAGCAGTGAATCCACTGAGCCACATCAGCCAAGACTTTGAACTTTCTTTTTGTGATTCTTTTTCTTTCCTTGATCTTCAGTATGTTGGAATTGTTAGCTTTATAATTCTTATATGTATAGTTAGGTATCTTCACTATAGTTTTTAGCAACTGAGCTATATTCTCTACCACATGGATTCGTACACTCTTGAGGCAAAACCAAGAATAATTAACATTTTCAGAGGATCCTAAAACTTCATTCTCAAGAGCCATGTTCTTCTCTCAGTCTCCAGAATTGCCAATAAGGAGAAAAAATGAATTTCTCTCTTTCTCTGCCTGCATTCACCTGAGATTGTTAACAGATGTGCGTTAGGAAAACCACGGGAGCAGAAATAGAAATGAGGTGTAGCTAACCCTGCGAGTGGTCTTTCAGTACTACTTAGGTATTTGAAGTGCACTGGGGGTTGCTTGGCACAGTGTAAGCAGTTGGGAAATTTTTGTTGGGTTGGACAGATGGATTCATGAACAAACTCGTTGGTAAAAATCTGAAATCTTCTAAAATTACGTGAACCTGAGTTTCAGAAGCTCATCCTCATGGTCAAATTGCATTAACTACCACAATATTAGTAATAAAAAAAGTTATATTGTTTTCCACGTTGTGAACTGACATATATGTATCACACTTTTGTTTCTAAAGGAAGTAGAAATTCGCAACAA